AAATGTAATCACTTTAAAGGCCATGGTCTAACCAGAAGATGACCTGAGAAGCCTCAGTTAGCAGGACTAATACCTAGACTTTCCAGAGCCACAAGTTAAGTTGCATGGTCCTAGGAAAGAATCCTAGGGATTCTTAAAAGTCTTTAAGATCTCCACAGCAGTAGGCAAAACAGGCCAAGGGAATTTGGTCACTCAGCTGTCTGGTGCCAGTGCTTGTTCCAGACGTGACTCCTTTTTTTAATGGCTGATGCATTATTTGATTGTCTGCGGTGCTGTGGGGTCCTCCAGGCTTGAAAAGCTGCTGGAGAGAGCGTGAGACATGTTGCAATACTGAATCCTCTCTTTTTTGCTCCAGGATTTCAGATGTGTTCTAAGCCTGGCGGGGTGAGCAAGCTTCTGGGCAGTGATGGAGACTCAGCACAGCAGTGGGTCGCAGCCCTTACTACAGGCTCGGCGTGACAGTGGGAGACCGCACGGGGAGCCCGACCTGCGGGATGTCCTGATGCAGCAGGTTCACGTCTTGTCGTTGGACCAGATCAGAGCCATCCGAAACACAAATGAATACACAGAGGGACCTACGGTGGCTCCGCGGCCAGGGGTCAAATCGTCTCCTCGGGTGACAACCCAACCCAAAAGTGAAAGGCCTCATGGGTTGCCTGAGCATCGTCATTTCAGCCGGATCCAGCACACACAGACGCACTCATCTCCTCGAGTGCCTCTGTCCCGGTCCATCAGCACAGTCAGCACAGGCTCACGGAGCAGTACAAGGACGAGTACAAGCAGTAATTCGTCAGAACAAAGACTTCTGGGATCGTCTTCGGGGCCAGTTGCTGATGGGATAGTCCGAATGCAGCCTAAGTCTGAGCTCAAGTCGAGTGAGCTGAAGCCACTGAGCAAAGAAGATTTGGGAGCACACAGCTACAGGTGTGAGGACTGTGGAAAGTGTAAGTGTAAGGAGTGCACTTATCCAAGGACCCTCCCCTCATGTTGGATCTGTGACAAACAGTGTCTTTGCTCAGCCCAGAATGTGGTTGATTATGGGACTTGTGTTTGCTGTGTGAAGGGCCTCTTCTATCACTGCTCTAATGATGACGAGGACAACTGTGCTGACAACCCCTGCTCCTGCAGTCAGTCACATTGCTGCACTAGGTGGTCCGCCATGGGTGTAGTGTCCATCTTTCTGCCTTGCTTGTGGTGTTACCTACCAGCCAAGGGTTGCCTTAAGTTGTGCCAGGGCTGTTATGACCGTGTAAATCGGCCTGGGTGCCGCTGCAAACACACCAACACCGTTTGCTGCAAAGTTCCCAGCGTACCCCCCAGGAACTTTGAAAAGCCAACATAGCATCACTAGCCAGAAATACTAAAGTAACAAGGATTATTATTTTAACGTACATATGCAACCAACTAAGCAGCTATGGTCTTGGCACTGTAGTAGAAGGGTTGGGGATGTACTTTGCTGTTTGCAGTGAAATGCTTTTCTGTGTGTGTGCCATCTTAGCTGATACGCTTGTTAGAATCCAGCTAGTGGAATACAGGGGAAAAAAAAGGGATGCAGTACATTCTGACCCACATATTGCATAAGCTAAAGCAACACAGACACTCCTAGGCAACTCTATTGTTTGTGAATAGTACTTGCAAAATTTGTAAATTAGCAAATGACTCCTTTTTTTTCATTGTTTTCTGCCAGAGATAATGTGCTATATTTTTGTATATACAATAATATTTTCAACTGTGAAAAGTAAGTGCTGTCATAAGACATGGCACAGTCACAAAATATTATACTAATATGTTGTACATTCGGAAGAATGTGAATCAATCAGTATGTTTTTAGATTGTATTTTGTCTTACGGAAACCTTCTATTACAAGACTTTGATTTCCCTTTGGACTTCATGTATATTGTACAGCTACAGTAAAATTCAGCCTTTATTTTCTAATTTTTCAACATATTGTTTAGTGTAAAGAATATTTATTTGAAGTTTTATTATTTTATAAAAAGAAATATTTATTTTAAGAGGCATCTTACAAATGTCGCCCCTTTTTATGAGGACGTCATAGTTGCTGCAGATAAGGGGTGAATGATGCATATGTTCACTATAAAATAGAAAATATATTAACGTTTGAAATTAAACTGGGCTACTTGTCATTTTTTCCCATTTATTGTTCTGAGTTGGGAGAATCGATAGTTCTAATTGCAAACTTGACAGTGCTATAATCACAGTGAGCCTAATGTGATTTTTAAGTGTATTCTTTTGTTCATGTTTACTTCTTTACCTGAAAACAGTGCAGGATTTTTGCTCCCTTTCTTTGCACAAATGTCCCATATACTGTTCCTACAAGAGAAAAGGAAAATGAACATAGGAAAATGCATTAATTCATTCCAGACTAGGACTAATAAGCACTGAAAGCTTGACCTATTCTATAAGTGATGAGCTTTTATGATTCAAATAGGAAATAAGTAATCATTCACAAGAAATGTTAGGCTTGCATGGATTTACTCAGTGAGAGAGAGGAGGAAAAACACGTAATTAATACTGTCAGTGCAAAAAGTTTGCAGGATTATTTGCTAAAGTTAGAAGAATATGCCACAGGGAATGATAGATCTGAATGCAGTCCAGCCTTATGTCAAACATTTGCCTCACTTGTAAGAAGAAAGTTGCTTGATTTGTCATTTGTGGCAGTTACCTTCTACTGAGGTCAAAATCCTTTCCCTGCCAAGTTTCCCACCGGAAGCCTAGAGAATGATTTACCTTTCTTTATTAACAAACTATCATTTCCTGTTCTGAGCATGTCAGTCCAAGTTTAGAGGTCTTAATGTTCAATTTTATTTATACATTTCTTAAGCTGGCATTTAAGAATAGTTGTAAGTATTTTTAAGCTGATGCTTAAAAAAGTCTCCCAGACTTTTCTGAAGCCCCTCCAAGATAAACAAGTTATTATTAATAAATTAAGAACTCACTAAAAGTTGAAAACCAGAGCATTGAGTAAATGTTCTGTCTTTTTGCCCCTTAATTTTCATCTCAGATCTGGTATTTGGATGATTTTACATAGGTCTGTAGTACTCAGAAATCTTACAATGTGTGTTTGTGCATATTGGTTATCAATCATCAAGTGAAATTAAAAAGTTCTTGTTCTCTTTCTCTTTTTTTTTTTTTTTTTTTTTTTTTTTCTCTTTCTTTTTTTTTTTTTTTTTTTTTCCTTACCTCTCTGGTGAAAAATGTAAGCTGGTTTACTTTCTGCACCAGCTGGCTGGATACATTGGTATACAAAGACGAACACTATATATTTAGCTTTCTGAGTGGAATTTGCCAGAAAGAAGGTAGCTTATGTTACATGAGTAATTTGTCCATATTTAAAGGGCATCAGTGTACTGTAACTGAGTAGTGGAGTGTATATGTGAGATTGTTCTTGGCTGCTGATAAACAAGATTTTTATTATTTAATTATGGGTTTTTTAGCAATTTTGTTCTTGAAGGGGTTAATAACCATCATGTGTTTCCATTCACAGAATGTAGTTTTTGAACTAGGTTAAGTGCTTATGCTTAAACTGTCCTGATGAAAACAAACATTAGAGGAATCTTTGACCTTTAGGCTCTAGCTTGGAAACGCCAAGTCCCACTGATTTCAGTAGACAGTAAATCCAGCATTTTCACTGGATTGATTAACTTGACAAAACTGAAGGCAAGCCCTGTCTTTTTAGTGATATATGTTTCAGTTGAAGATAACTCTACAGAAAGCTCAAGGTGAAACTGGAAAACTGGGATGGGTGAGCAGCACAGCAGTCAAAGTGGGTGCAACTCAAAAGTCCAACTAGCTTAAGTCCAACACTAAAATTATGGATGTGTTTTCTTTTTGCAGTATAGTAAGTTCTCTGTCTGCCTAGCTAGGTTCTAAGGGAAAAGGAAAACCATCTTCTTCTTGGCAGTGAAATTTGAAGCTAGTTTAAACACTGAGCAATGGTTGTGACCTTCCACTTGGTTCTTAATAAAGGATAAAATAGTGGGTCCATCCCACCCCAGGTAAGCCCATTACCAGAAACTGGGTAGGATGCATGACTCTTGGGAGCAGGGATGTAGGGAAGTGTGGCCTGTTAGGCTAACTATAGCACTGGGATCTAGGCTTCAGCTAGTATGGATTGATGTTTGCGCCCACTGGACTCTTAAAAGCTGGCTTCTGTATGTTAGTTAACATCCTAATATTGCACTTAATTAGATAAGGTTTAGTATTCTAAATAAAACCAAAATCTTGCCTCAGGCAGATTAGATTGTTTTAATAAGAATTAAGAGGGCTTTTCAAATGGATTGAGATAATGTTATTAAAGCATGCCTACTTTATCCTTTGAGAAAGGAAAGTGGAGGTCCAAATAAGGAAAATTTTCCATACACAGGTTTTGAGGATAACCATGAAAGTTATGCTTGATATACATAATATAGGACTTTAATTTTAGACTGCTATGAAGTCATGAGAGAGAGCAAAACCCTTATTATTGTTCCATTTGTTGTGTTGTTGCTTCAGAGTTTTGATCTGTTAACTTACAGATTCTGTAAGGTTTGTTTAAGGTATAGAGACTTGCAGGATTGGACTGACAGCTAATCCTAGTAACAATGGAAACAAATAGAATTTTTCCAAACTATTTTTCTTTATGATGTAAGCTACAAATAAATACATCAAATTTAAAGAAATTTAGAAATTCCTCTATTAATAACCTCAGGACTTTTTTTCTTACTTTGCTCTTTAATGGTTTGAAACTTGACTAAAATTTCTTTTTTGAGATCAGGATCATAGTAGTAACAAAAAAGGAACAAAAGGAAAAGAGACTTGGATTCAAGTAGAGAATAAATAAAAATAATACTTTTACTGGATAAAAGTAAAATGTATTCCTAAAGGATCTGAGATCATGTTCAGGTAAGTATTTGCATTCAACAGATTTACCAAATCAGTCTTCAAAAGCCAAAAATTCTCCAAGTGCAGAAGTGCAGTAAATTGTTGTGATAATTAACACAATAGATTTTTTACACTTCCTTACTAAACTCCTAGCATTTAAATATACAGTATTACCTGTATTGCCCTTTTCACTTTTGGTAAAACACAAAATGATTAATTTTTGTAACGAGTGAAATCTTAGGTCTTTTTCGCAGGTGGCAGGAAGACAGCAGAATGCATTTCTGTTCTACAGTGGAACATTTAAATATTTTTAGGAATTAATGGTTGGGAAAGATGGATTTGAACAGTCTGTCTTGTCTCAGATGTTCCTAGATGGGTGCAGGTACAGCAAGTAATAATGATTTCATCTGCTGAGACTAATTTCTCAATCAGTCACTGGAGCAGAGTGCCAGAAAGAAATTGGCTGAATGCGAGAGCACGCTCGATTGAGTAGTGTCTGTAAGAATAGTATTGAATAGATGTCTTGCTGAAAATGTCAGCATTTGTCTTATTGGGTCATCTTAAATAAATCAGTTACAGATTGGAATTGCAGGTAGACAGCACACCAGACATGGGATTGTAGGTGACAAAGCACACCAAATCCTTACCAATGAAAGTACTTGGGTATTTTCCTCTTTATTAATCTGATTTTAAACTGGAATCTTAGAAATAAAAAATAATGTCTTGTTAAAGTGAGGACAGTTTGACTCAAAAAAACATTTGCATATAAAGTGCAGCTATGTATAGTACTTTTGATTTTAAAAATATTTCACTTTTCAATCTGTGGAGATTACTATGTGTTATTTCTCTTTGTATTTATTCTTTCTGGTCCTTATCCCTTTCCTTGACCTTTCCTTGCCATAATATGTAATACATTATTTCCACTTATAGGACGAAAGGGGAAAGAGGAGGATGAAACATGCTTTTTTCATTAGTATTCTGAGCCTGAAAGTTTAGGACAAGGTCAAAAAATTCATTACCTTGCTGCATGTAATTTTTCCTGCATTTTGAGAAATATAAAAGGTTTTTTATATTCATGTGACATTGAATCCACTATTTCAGAAAGATCTTATTTTCATTGTTTTGATTGAATTTTATTACTCAAGGTTTTATGTGTTTTTGTTTTAACCCATTGGCACTGTGTTTCAGATTAAAGAGGTTGAGGCTTTACTACCATAAAAGCATGAACTGCTGCTGTTCTGCCACTGGGATTGTTCAGTACAGTGCCAATATAGTTGCTTTTGGACATGAGTAGCAATGATTTTGTTTGAAACAGAGTAGGAGTTCAGTGTTCTCAGCCTTGGGAGAAGGCAACAGAGGCTGTGGTACATATCTTTACATGTGGTATAAGAAACCTTTTTCTCTGACTTAACTGTGCATGCTGATTACAGAGGCTTAGGGCTAAAATGTTCAAACTGCTAGACTAAAATGGGTTGGTTTCCATTTCGGTAGAAGTTACCAATAATCAGAAGCTTTGACAATGTAGTCTGCTATTATGTAAGATTATTTATGGATATTGTAATACTTGGGGGTTTAAGTTACATTTTAAAATGATCTTGCCAAGGGAGATAATCTGTTTCTAAAAGGTAAAGAACTGTATAATCAAAGGAGCTCTGCTTTCCTGAAAGACTGCTGTATAATTACCAAACCACTTAGTGCACCTGAGATATGCTACAAGAGATAGCACTTGGTGCCATTTAGGAGTTGCAGGCACAAGTTTAATTTGGAGAGTCTGAGCCAGTACACAAGGGTGTATTAGGAAGAATCACCAACTTACAGACATAGAGAGCCCCTTGAACAAAGGGATTTCTTTACTTTTTTACCGTCACTTTATATTGATCTAGAAGCAGTGTATATGAATGAGTCATAAATCGTGTTGTTGTTCCTCTGGTTACTGATGAAAGAATGTATTGATGCTCTCATAGTGTGCCTCAAAAAAACACACCAGGATGGAAAATCTTTAAATGACCAATTTTACCGCTGTCGTCTTCCGAAATGAATAAAAACATCAGGGCTATAGCAAGCTGTGTTTCAAAATTAGTTGCACTGTAAGTAAATTGCACTAATTGGTTATGCTAAATCTGTTACTATAATTAGACATGGTTCCGTTTTAGGTCTCAAAATCAACTCAGACTTTTGCCAGCTTCCTTTGTAGTGCAGTTTTATTAATTACTGATTTACTTAAGGTGTTGTTTCTTGTAAGACAACATATATAAGCTGGTATATCACAAACTGTCAAATGCATGCAGTGAACAGTTTTTCTTCCCTCTCATTTCTCTTTCATAAAGCATTGCAAAGAGGAGGAAATTGTGAAATACTTTTATTTGCTTTGGGTCATTTTATTTATGAATTTTGTTTAATTATTGTAGACAGAGTGCTAATTTGATGGATTGCTGTTTTGTGATTCCCTCCCCTCTCTCCCCACCCCCTTCAGTCACTCCCCCATAGTATATGGCAGTATGAAATATGTAAGTAGCACAGTTAAGGGACCAAGAATTCACTTTGTGAACTTAACCTAAGTGCAGCTGCATTAAATAGTAAGGTGAAGCAGGAGCATCAGTGCCTTCTTGCAGAACCTATTGAATGCATTATACCTTTCACCAGCAGGTTTACTCTCGTACCTCTGCTGCTCTGCAGATGGAGATTATGCAGTTGTTTATCATGTATATGTTTTTATGCCTCAGTGTTTTCTCTTTTTTGGAGAAACATTGTATTCATTCTTTAAAACTAGTGCATGAGGATACCATAATACTGTTATTAAAAAAAAATAAAAGAAAACAAACTAGCCACATGTGAAGGTTATCTTAACTGCCTACTGCCTACTACTCTCAATACTGTTCTTGGGAATGAAGGCTTTCCTCAGATCCCTTCACCCCAAGTGGAAGAAAAAGACTTTGTGAGTTATTCTGAAATGTGTGGTTGAGGGGAGGCATGGGTTATGGTATAAAACGTGAACCTTCCATCAGGGCTGTGCCTGACCTGTTCTCTCCAGCACAAACACAACTGCAGTACAAAGTCTGAAAGTGTGCAACAGTGTTTCTGGCCACCTCTCTACTCTAAATCAGACAGTAGGTGGAAATGTTCCCAAACAATGGATTGCAATTGCCCACACTACTGAAGCATTAAGACTTTGCCTGGTGTGAGTTAAGCATGTGCCAAAAATACTCTCCCAAGCTATTACCTACCACATTTCAGGAGCCATTCCCAAAAGTCAGTTTTC